TTTAACTTTTATATTTTCATATTTTGATGATTTTTTTAATAATTTTTTAAAGTTTAAATTTATCTTAAGAAAATTTCAATTTAAACTATTAAAAAAAAAGAAGAAGTAAATCTGCAATATGAAGAGAGCGAATGTAAAGGAGGAGAGAGAAAATGAATGAAAGAAAAGGAAGTAGATGAGGATTCTTTAGTAATTTTGCAGTTTAAATTGACCACATCACCTACACAATGCCATATCAGCACCAAGCCATTTCTTGGTAACGGAGTAACCAGGATGTGGACGGAAAGATGACATTTGATGAGGTCATCGTCAGCAGAAGGGCTGATTTGCGGGTTTTGTCAAGTGGAGGGGTTGATTTGCTCTACTTTTAGGTAGAGGGGCTGATGTGCCACAACAATGGACGTAGAGGGGCTGAATTGCACCTTCTGCCAATTTTTTTTCCTTAGATACATAAAAGTATTAACTGTTTAATATAATAGATACTTAAACTTTTTAATTTAACCTTAAATCAAGATTTTGTAATTGAAAGAGAATTATAAAAGTAAAAAAGGACACTTTGGAATTATTATATTGCAAGTTTCGTCTCTTTAGGCAATTGGTACCATCATGATGTACAAAGGTCATTATCAATAAAAAGAGATAATTGACATTGTAGCATTAGATATGACATTACTTTGAAGGATCAAACAAGCAACTCTTTAGTCTTTACTGGTAACATGTTTGTTTTAGATTAGGTGTAATTGATTTGGTCCTTGTTAAGGCCCATGAATTGGACAAAATCTTTGGTGAAGAAGTTAAGGGCCTGGAGGACTAGGATAGGTCCGATAGGAACTTCCATGCCTATGGGCCAGGGGCAACATAAAATAGTGTAGGACAGTATTTGGGCCAATTTCTCGAAGTCCAATACTAAAGGTGGTTGGTCCATTAGACTAAAATTTGAAACACGGGCTTGTGTGCCTTAATAGGCCGCCAAAACACACAACCATACCTGGTGGCCTCCCATCAAACCAACATTTTAAGCCTTTTAATGGGGATCACAATAAAATATTAATATATCATTATTTATAGGATAAATATTATTTTTGTTTATATAATTAAAATAAAAATAAGTATTAAGTTTATTATAAAAAAAGAATTAAATTATTTAAATTGATAAATTTATAGACTTATTTGTTTTAATAAAAATTTAAAATTTAATAAAAATTTAAAATAAATTTAAGAGTTAGGGGTTTTGCCTTTAAAAAACTGCATTCATTAGTCTAATTTTAGCTTTTGTAGAATTTTTTTTTTTTTTTGTCAAAAACTGGAACAAGTAAACATATAATCAAATATCTAACTAGTACTTTTTGAAAAAGTACTTTTATTGTTCACAATTGTCCTGATCCTTGTTGAAATATTTTCTAATTATCTCCTGAGTAACTTCACTAGGGGAGCTCTTTCCTTGTGGGTCATCAGGCCTATGATGCTTGATACAATTAATGAAAAAGTGAGATTGGGAAAAAGTTAAAAATTGTTGAAATAATGTTTTGTTTCTTGGTCTCCCACATTGGATGGTGATAATGTTTTCAGTACTTTTTGTTTCTATATAGATATTTTTTTACATAAATATTAAGAATTGAATTTTAAAATTGTAATTAATAACACATATAATTTTATTATCAAATCACATAATTAATGTCTAATATTTTCAATACTAATAAATGTTGAGTTTTTTACATTTTTTTTCTTCTTTGTACATTTAAAATATATCTTGAAACGCAATGGAATTTCATTCTGAATATTTTAGTTAAGCAGGGGATTCTAGATGGAAAAAGCCTAAAGTTAAGATATTGCATAGTTTATCCCTTTTTCCTTTGATTTTTTTTTTTTTGAATT